TTATATATATATATATATATATATATATAGTTATCTGGTTAATTTATGAAAACAAGTGGTAACGGTTTCCCAGTAAATGAACTAAGACTATGGATTAGAATTCCGTTTACATAAATACGATTACCTTTCTCAAAAACTTATCATTATAGTCACGTGAGTTTTGTACCAAAAAATATGACAATATTTTCATATACAAGATGTCTCAAAACATAAAATAAAGTTTTCTAAGCTAAAAAAACGTACGAAAAAAAGTACAAGACGATTAAATATGGAAAAATAACTCCAGGTGGAGCTGCAGGACGTGCTGAAAACAACGACGACGTCAAATACAAACCACGAATAAAACATACAATTCTACATGAAGTTGTTTCAAAACGTAATACTTCATATGTAGTACATCTCAGTTTTCATATATCAATGACGTCACCCAATCACGAGTTATTATTCCAATATTATAACTTATTATATGTGACTTTATTATGTGAACATCATCAACTGCATTGATGTAGTAAAAAATACCGGATTTTTCGTGCTGCATTTCTTCCTTACCGCCTGAATAGCATGGAGGTACTACGAACTAACTTTCAAAAACTATTAGCCAAATATTCTTTAACATATACACATTTTTAGACATATTATGGGAAATTTACTCACGTTATCAACACTTACCAATTATGTAACCCATTGTAACGTCATCCGGTAGTCGAATCTTTTCACTGATGCTTATAAATTTTCCGCCACTGGTGGATTTGGAAACCAAAGTTAAAACTGTTAATTATACTTGACACGTAATATTTGAGGCCACTAAAATCATTAAAACCTTTATATGTATAACCTATATATATATAAAACTTGCAGACTTCTTGATCATACTTTTAGTAACTACTTATAATCAATCAACTTATACACAAACCGACATTTTATTGACCACTACACATATTACGAACTTGTACACAAACTGAAACTTTTACTGACCACTACCCATATTACGAACTTGTACACAAACTGAAACTTTTACTGACCACTACACATATTAGCAATTTATACATAAACTGAAACTTTTACTGACGAGGGCTGTAACTAGGAGTGGGGCCGAACGACCACCCTCATATCCAGGGCTGACGTGGGGGGAGGGTAGTGGCCCCGAGGCCCACGGTCTATTGAAGGATATTCCAAAGTTCACTAGAAATTCATATTAGTTAATGAGCTAAAATGGCTATTTCTTTTTCATGATTTCATGAAGAAATTTGTCACCTAAATTTATTTTATGAAAAATCAGCAAAAGTTAATAAATAGAATGAAAGGGGAGCCCGATGACATTACTGATTCCGGGGCCTGGGCTGGTTCTCGACGCCTCTGCTCATATCATAAAAAGGCTTACCCAAGACATCCATATTTTTTTTGGAAATTACCCCCTTACTCTGTAGTGCTAGCTACGTCTCTGATGATCTCTACGCACATAAACTTTTACATGAATCAAAGTAATAAGACTGACAACCAGCTCTAACTTTGTCCACAGAAAATTGATTAAGTAACGTGAAATTCAAAAGCCATCCAAAACTGAGAAAAAAGTATAAAAAAAGACCAATAATACAAGGTCTATTCTTTACCTTTTACGGATTTATTGTACATAACGATTAAACGCTTTTTGATTCACAAGAGTTAACAGCCTCTGTAGCATGCAATATACATAAATTTTTATAAATGGAGTTCCATTTAAGACTCTGTATGTATTAACTCAGGGCCTGGCATGGCCAGGTGGTTAAGGCACTTGACTCGCAATCTAAGGGTAACGGTTCGAATCCTCCTCCCACCAAACATGCTCGAGAGTTCAGCAGTGAGGGTGTTATAATGTGACGATCAATCGCACTATTCGTTGGTAAAAGAGTAGCCCAAGAGTTGGCGGTTGATGACAGTCTTTCACTGCTAAATTAGGGACGGCTGGCGCAAATAGCCCTCGTGTAGCTTTGAGCGAAATTGAAACCGAACTTAAAGTATTAACTCAGCCGGCCTGATGAACCCTAACTTTAAGCATCGTCGGCAAAGTAAAATGAAATGATATTAACCAACTCTTCTTAATGGTACGTCGAATCGGATGAGTCAAGGCTGTGGTGTTTGAAATGCTTCAATGTGTCATCACATTATTATTGAAATACGAACAATGGCCATTCTTCCATCCTCGTTTTTAAAACAACTGTTTCACAATAAAATATTTAAGAAAGTTCTACAAAATGTTTTACAGTAATGTAACAGGAACAACTGTTTTTTTCATAGCGTCTGTGAAAAACAAGGAGGATTCATTACAACCTTTAATGACTAGTAAAGGGTGTTTTTTATTTCTTCTCTTACAAGCGATATCTTATCTTCGAAACAAAACGCATGCAAACTCCAGATGGCTTAATGTTGACCTTTCTAAATAACATATTCTTTCAGTGTGTTTCACGGAACACTGAGTTGAAATGGAAATCAAGACGAGTTTTAAATTATCTTGGTATCTTTCAGAGACATCTTTAATAGTTTTACATGCAGACAATCCGTCAAGTTTCTGTACAAAGAAAGAAAAAAGGAAACGGGAAAACGATGATGACAGACGAACTTTAACTATCTTTGACAGGATATCGTGCAGTCGCCATCACGACAGGCCGTTAATGAGAACGCCTAGCCTCAGTAACCGGGCATGATGATTAGCGAGATAAAAAGTCTTGTCTACTGGTAGATGGCCTCCAGTTAAAACGAATTGAGCCGGTCGAAGCTTCTGGAATTAAGAAACAACCACATAGGCGTTACACACCTCATGTAATATGAATGAGATACCCCCTTGCTTACGGGTTAAAGTACGCGTCGGGGGTAGCGAACAGAAAGCTCGACCATTGCAGGTATAGAAACACCACATAATAACAACATTGTTCAATGAATATATTTAAGTTTTTTCTGTGTAGAAAAACTTTAATTATCTTTCATGACAAAAGTATTTCAGTTCGATGTCAGAACCATTACATTTACAAATATACTCTAGTTACCTTCGTGTTTTGGAATGCTTGTTAAGCAGGTTTCTTTCTAACTAAACGTGTATAGCACATAGCTCGAGCCAATGGCGAAATAACGTGATCCAAAATCTTTTCAAAATTAAAGAAGAGTTAGTGATAGCTATTATAGCGTGTGCGCATAACGATAACTGAATTTTATTCAAAATATTTGCCCATTTTTATTGTTAATTTAAACTTACAAATCTTCGTGGTTTTTGGCATAAATTTTGTTTTTATTAAATCATCCGTTTTTAATTCCATAACAAAATGTCCATTTCACAAGCCAGCAACGATAAAGCGAACCGTTCATCAAATTGTTCCTATGGAATAACTTTGGTTCTTTCCCCTAATTACATTTTAGAACACATACAAAATTTGATGTTCGATTCCAGTAGCACTCTCAACAACTTTCATCTCACCTCGACTGGAGATTAGTGAAGCTGGTATGACTCTTTTCTTCCCCATAAACATTTTATATTATTCTTTCGGATATCTTCATTTCTGAAAGCTCCCATTAAAGCCTCTTTCTGCATGAAGCGTTACTTGTACTCAACGTTATCATTCCAAACCGGAATATCTGACTTCTTAGCGTACTTTTACACAATTTTCCATTCACAGTTCTCATTCAATAGAATTTAAAATTTAGTAGCTAAAGAACGGCAAACGCTTCTTTTTCATATATCGTTAGATGTGGTGCGGCTTGCTAGTTAGCGAGCCCAGATTTTGAATCCGAGAATTCGTGGTTCGTGTCTCATTGCCGCGAAAAACCGTGCTCTGCAAAGCTACACAAGGGCCATCTGCACTAAGCTATCTCTAATTTTGAAATGACAGACTAAAGAGAAGACAGCTACCACACCCGCCAACTTTTTCCTTACTATGTCTAATCGATTAGTAGGATTTGACTGTCGTTCTTATAACGCACCAACAGCCCCAAAGTGCAGAGCGCGATTTTGCGGCAACGGATCGCTAACCATGGACCCTCAAGTGCACAGTTCGAAAATTCTCACCAGTAGCTAAGCCTGGCAAGCAAAGGACAAGAGGGTCCTGTCAAACATAAGCAATGAAGCTAATAACAGACTTAAAAACTACCAAGGTTAGTTCCCAAGTACTTTGCAAAGGTGGAGTTTTGCTTACCTAATCTCAGTATGACTATAACGTAGTTGCACGCACACACACACACAACCTGCTATCATAAGTAAAGTAATATAAGTAAGGAAAAGACCACACGCACAACTTAACTTAAAATAAGACACAAGATACTTTTGAATTAGCCACTAGTTTTCATGCCGTTCCATACCAGTGCGGTCCGCATAGTGCAACAAAGTAAGTTATTTTATATTTTTGCCTGTTAGAACACTCAGTGTAAAGAATTACCAAAACATTGAGTGGAAACACTCATTATCTGTGTAATATATGGAAGGCCCCATGCAGCAGTAGTTAACTGGATCAAGTACGTTTTTTTCTTACTTTTTACAGTGATTCGTTGCTAATAGGGACCATGTAAATTCCAAAGTCATGAATTCATAAGTAATTCGGGGCATAAATGGTTTATAAAAATGCCTTTAAAAACTTTACTGGATTCATATGGACCCTCACAGGTAATTCTGGAGCTAAATAATGTCAACACACGTTTTATTTATCTACAACAGGAACGTTAAAACATGATTAATAATTCACATGGCCATTCTAAGTTACTGAGTTACAGTCATGAATGGCGCCTGCAGAAGTAAAACACTGAATTATTCAATTACTAGTAAGTTACAACTTTGGAGATTACTTCGTACTTTTAAAAACGGCACCTCAAGAACAGCAAGGTTGAATTTTCCATTTTCAAACCTCTTTTCAGATTCAAAATAATCATTAACTCAATTTTTCAATTTGTGGACCACAAGTTATAATTTAAATAAGCATTTACATTGCTCATGTGACACACATTTTTTTCCTATATAAGCCCATCATTTATATCAAAAATGAGGTTAGTAAAATCAGAAATTTATGTGACTTGACTTATTGAGAAAATACATTAAAAATTCAATAATCTTATAAATTAACAAGTTAAGATTTGGAATGACTGGAAAGGATTAACACGCTATTATTAATATCCAGTTTCTGAATTAAAGAGACATTTTTGGTGGATTGATTTGCAAACAAAGTTCCTGGTATTCTCT